AAGCCAAAATTTAACGGAGGGACCAAAAAGGGGCCGTATTTGTGAACAGTAAGGATCAAAAAGGGGATTTTTTCGGTATAGGGACTAAAAAGGGACTTTTTCCTATAGTAGAGGGACCAAAAAGGGTATTTAACCTATATATAAATCTTATACATTATATTTACATATAATTTTGACTATTCATATATTAATTTTTAATTATTGAGAATTATCATAATTTTTTAAATGATAAAGATAATTATCTTAGATAAATATAATAAAAAATAAATAAATCTTAATCATTAAAAGTAAAGAAATAAATGGTTGAGATTTTGTATAAATACAGTATTTAAAACTCATATGTAAGTGGATCTCTATTCTATAAAAAATTAAAACTGACATTAATTTAATATTAGTGCTAAGTGAATGAATTTAATTAGACAATTGATAAATTAAAAATTAATTTTTGTTTTCAATATAAATATCTAACAAAAAATATATTTATTATACTCTTAATCTATGCCTTAAACTTAAGTTAGAAAAACTCATAATTAATTTTGAGATATATATAAATTGCTTAGAGACATTTTAACCGTCCAAACCTTCAAAAAAAACAACGTAAGTGTTAAGCCAATTTGCGCAACTTGATCACTAGCTGGCAATTAAGCAAACTGAGGTGCATTTAATTACTACACTAGCTATCTCTTGCAATAATCTTGTCAAACTAATTAGCATAATCTATTTTGCTCCTATATATACATATACATATATATAAGTTGGTGTTTATCAATTAAAACTGTAACTAATTAGAAGAAAAAATACTTCAAAATTTCATTATTTCAATAAAATACCACAAAAAAATACAAAAACACTCTCATTTTTTATTAAAAAATAGGTTATTTTAATATTTGTTTAATAGAAGTTTACTAAAACAATATAGTTTTAAAATCTTTTTCCTTTTAATTTTTTAAAGATTTGACAACATTATTTTCATATATAATTTTTTTTAATCTAAAAAATCATGATAAATCTAAACAATTGAAAATGAAAAGATAAATAGTTAAGATTTAGTGCAAGTGTGATATATAAAACTTGTGTATAAATAGATCCTTACTATATATATGCTAATTAATCATTTTTTGCTAAAGTATTGATTAAGGCATGCAAATGCTTGATCAACATCCAATAACTACAAGTAATTTTTTAGATTAATCACAACTTGCATGTGTAGTGATGTGGGGACAATGTATTTTTTCATAAAATAATATTCCACTGCTAGTGAGACTTGACACCAGATCATCAAGTTGTAAGCCTCATTTTCTCTCAAAAATCAATGCTATTTTTCTCTCATTATTTTGGATCTTTTTAATTTCTCTTTAAATTTGAGACATAAATCCTAATGCCTTATGGAATATAAAATCTGACAAACCATTTTCTAAAAAAGAAAAAAAGAAAAAGAAAAACAGAGAATAAATCACAAAAAATGGATGAATTTTGTGAACGCGGGGAATATTTGAGGAGGGCGTATTTTACAAATTATAAGTGAGAGTAGAAATCTAACCTAGTTACCCTCAAACTCTCTGGCTTTAAAGGTGAACCAATTCGCCCAAATAGGCTGGTTCACAAAAATAGATGAATTAACCAATAAAAGCTTGACGTTCTAAATTCAGTTCCACATATGTAACGCATACAAACCCCTTTGCATAATATTTGTTGTTAGAAGCCAAATGGCTTAAATAATTTAATGGTTATCCTCTTTCATTACAAATAATAGGTCTTGACTTTAAGTTACATGATATACGGATGCAGTGAGATAAGGGATGTGAGATGATTGCTTTTTATTATACAATTAAAATTTTTTTAAAAAAAATACTTATAGTTAGAAATATAAAGAGGAAACTAGAAAACTAAATCGGTTGAAATTATTGAAGAACCTAGATTCCAAATTATTCACTGGATATACACCTTCCATAACCTTTTAAGGTTCTTGAACCAATTATTAATTCACACAAAAACAAACAAGTGGAAATATTGAAGACCATGCTTCTGAAAATTCAAAAGCAAAAGTCCAATAATAATGATAACGGCCCCGATTCTTTTTAAAACATCATTTGAGGACCTAAAAAAAAAAAAGGCAAGCAAGCATTCCCTTGTCTCCAAACAGACCGCAAAAAGTTTTCGTATACCGACCCAGATAACATTAATTTATCCTGAAAGATTCTTTTTTTTTCACTTTTTTTTCACGCGCTTCCAAACCGGCTGCTGTTTCACCCAGAAAACAAGTGAAAGTTAACTTTATATTTAATTTCAAATAATGGTATATAAAAATGTGTTGTTTAAATTTTGTTGATTATTATTAAAAATATAATTGAATTAATACTTAAATATAATTAAAGTAAAATTACATTCAAAGGAAAGATTATTATTGAAAATATAATTGAGTTTAAAATTTTAAAAGTACATTAAATATTTATTTGGTATTTATTAAAGATTTTAAAAAATTCATTGAATATTATTCAATATTTATTAAAAATTTATTAGAGATTTTTTAAAGGATTTTAAAGGTCTATTGGTATTTATTCAAAATTTAGTAAAAATTTTAACAATTTTTATAATAAATTAGCATTTATTAGCTAGATTTACGGAAAATTAAGTACTACTTTAAAATTGTGTTTTTTAATAAAGTATCGACTAAAATAGTATTATAATTTTTAAATTAAAAATAGATTATTTTAATATTTTTAAATAAAAATTTATTAAAATAACATAATTTTAATATTTTTTTACTTAATTTTTTTAAATTCACATAATAAATATTTTTTATAAAATAAATCAATTAGTTAAAATTCTCATAAACAAAAAATAGAAGTTCATACACTAACTATACCAATAAAAAAATATCTCTATACAAATAATTTAATCAATTACCATCGACCATGCTCATTTTTCTTTTTATAATATAGCTTAAACTTTTATTTTGATCCTTTAACTATTAGACAGACCCTCGATAGAGTCCCTTAACTCAAAAAGCCCCAATTTGGTCCCTCCTATTTCCAATTTTGACCTCAACTTGGTCCTTCTGTTTAACTTTCATTGAGGTGGCCCATTAATTGATAGAAGAAGAATGAAATGTCCAAAAATATTTGACACATAGAATTGGCAGCATTGATAAATGAATGATGTGGCCAAAAAAACCTTGTCATGTAATAAAACAAATATAATTATCTAATTCATTAAAATTACAATTTTACACTCATCTTCTTCTACCAATATCTTCTTTCTCAAATCTTCTTTATTCATTCTCCTTTTTCTCTTTTTTTTTTTTTGCCCCTTCTGAGTCCACTTCCATCACCATTTTTTTGAATCAAACAACCAATTCAATGAAATAGAATTCCATTCTTCATCATCATCAAACAACAAAACCCATAAAAAACAAAAAAATCTTTTTGATTTTTTGCCTCTGGATTCGAAAGAATTAAGTGCTTGTTGGGTTCCATCGAACCTAGTGCCTGCTAGGTTTGAAAGAACCCTGACGTACTAGGTTCAAAGGAACCCAACACCTACTAGGTTCGAAAGAACTCATGCGTGTTGGGTTTCATCAAACGCAATAGTGTTTGCTATGTTAATTGAACCCAGCAGCGCCTACTGGGTTTAAGGCACTGCTGGGTTTAATCAAACATAGCAATGCCTACTTCCATTAAACCGAGGCATGCTAAGTTCCATCGAATCCAATAGCACCTACTAGGTTTAAACGAACCCAGCAACACCTCTTGGGTTTTATCGAACCCAACAGTTCCTACTTCCATTGAACCCAAGTGTGTTAGGTTTGAAGGAACCCAACATTTGCTGGGTTTGAAGGAATCTAGTGCTTTGTTGGGTTTAATCGAACCCAACAACGCCTACTAGGTTCTTTTCAATTGTTCATGGGAAGAAGATGGGAGAAATTGTAAGTTTTTGTAGAGGTGAGCCCCACTTTTTTTTTTTTTGGGGTGATGGGCGAGAATGTGATGTGTTTTGTTGCCATATGACCTTTTTTCCATGCATACAACTGACATGTCATAATATTTTGACATGTCATTGCGCTTCCGTGAGTTAACAAGACATATTGCTGGATTTTTAATGGAATAACTAAGTTGGGGCCAAAATTAAAAATAATAAGGATCAAAAAAAAATTTTAGTAGAAAAACTCAATTAAAGGTATGCAGAATAGTTAAAAAACTAAAATGGGGTTTAACCTATAATATATGGGAAGAAGGTAAAGACAACAAAACTTTAAGCATTCTATATGCACGCTCTCTCATCGCGTGTGTTCCAAACAGCAAACCACAATCTCTGCTTATATTTTTTCGTTTTTCCTCTTCTTTAAAACATTTAAAAAAAGATTGGAGAAATTTTTGGTATGAAAAGAAATGCTATTTGTAGAATATAATGCGCTCTCAACAGCCCACAGCCCTCACATCTCTGCATTTTTTGTAGCTTCTCTTTTATCCTTTCAAACTCCACTCTTCAATTATTTCCTCTCCTTCTTCCTCAGAAATATTATTTTCTCCTTCCAAAAACTGTTTCTAGTTACTGCAGAGGTTTGAATTCCTGTTCTTGCTCACTCGTGCAGATCGAATTCCAACCATGGCGCTTGAAACTTGGTTGTTAAAAGTGAAAACGGTGATATCCCACAAGTTCGAGGCAGCGAGATCTAATTCGGTTTCGAAACGAAAAACATTGAAGAAATCAAACGTAGGAATTTTAGCGTTTGAGATCGCCGGAATCATGTCAAAGCTCATCCATCTCTGGAGCTCACTCTCCGATAAGAACATAGTTCGTCTCCGGAACGAGTCTATATGTCTAGAGGGAGTCCGCAGGATTGTCTCCAACGACGAGTCCTTTCTCCTCGGACTAGCATGTGCCGAGATGGCAGAAAACGTCAGGCTAGTCGCAAATTCCATCTCCAGAATCAACCGGCGGTGCCTGGATATAAATCTCCTGGATTTTGATCGGATTTTCAGCGAGTTTGCAAACACGGGTCATGATACTCACGGATGGATTCTCAGCTGTAAAGAATTGGAAGCCAGTAACAAGAAGATGGACAGGTAAGTCTTGATTTTTTTTTTTTTTTTTATTTCACGAAAAAAATGGGTCTCCTTAGTGATACCTTCATTCTAGATTTAGAGATTGATCTAGAATTTTTATAAAGCAGAAAAAGTGAACTTTTCAGTCTGAGCCAAAAAAACAAGAAATTGTTAGTTGAGACTATAATTGAATACTCTTATTTTATGTTGAACATCATCAGCTAACTTGGCAAGGTTTTTGTTGATATAGGTACGTGACAATTACTGTCACTTTGCACAAAGAGATGGAGGAGCTGTCGGCGATCGAGAACAGTTTCAGGAAAGCTGTACAGTGTAAAGATTTCGAGTCGGCTACCAAGGAACAGAAGATCATCGATCTGCAGCAGAAGCTTTTCTGGCAAAGGCAGGAAGTAAAGTACTTAAAAGAAAGATCCCTATGGAATAGAAGCTTCGACACGGTCGTTTCAATGCTTGTAAGATCCGTTTTCACCATTTTAGCAAGAATCAAGCTGGTTTTCGGGGTCGGCCATGGATACCCACCGTCTCTTTCTCGCAGCCTCTCTGCTTCGGCAACAGTTCATCCCACGGAAAACACCAACACATGTACCTTCGTGTCCGGACCATTGAAAAGTTCAAAACTTGATGAGAAAAAGGAAATGGGTTCTAATTTTTTCGAGTCGAATTCGAGGCTACTGAAGCCACCGGAGAGTACTCTTGGTGCAGCGGCGTTATCCTTGCACTATGCTAATTTGATCATCGTCATGGAGAAGATGATAAAGTCGCCACATTTAGTTGGGGTTGAGGCGAGGGAAGATCTGTATGCAATGCTACCGAGCAGCATAAGGGCGGCTCTGAGGGTGAGACTAAAGGGGGTGGGATTCTCGGCGAGTGATCCAGTGCTGGCCGGAGAATGGAGGGCAGCGTTGGGGAGGATCTTGGGGTGGCTGTCCCCATTGGCGCATAATATGATTAAATGGCAGAGCGAAAGGAGCTTTGAGCGGCAGAATTTAGTACCCAAAACAAATGTTCTTCTCTTGCAAACACTGTTTTTTGCAAAAAAGGAGAAGACTGAAGCTGCCATTGCAGAGATGCTGGTGGGGTTGAATTATATTTGGAGATTTGAGAGGGAGATGACAGCAAAAGCATTGTTTGAATGCAGCAACTTTAATGGGGTGGTGATGAATTTGCAAAATTCAAGTTGAGGAGAGAACGGGGGATTTCTTTTTCATTTTTGGGTCTTAATTAATTATGGCTATTCTGCAATTTGTAGATTGAATTAAGTTTCAGCTTGCTGAACTTTCAGGGTTTGTTTTGGGAATTTCGAACCCTAGGCTGTATATGATAAATCTCTATATATAGAGAGTTGTATGTAAATGATCACATGAATTGAGAAAATTTTCCGCGAATTGTTTGTTTTGTTTCTATAACTCAATTATAATTAGCCATGTGAAGATATTCTCTTGAATACCAGAGATCCATAAATGGTCAGTCATGAACTGATCTTCATGCCTTTTTTTTTTTTTTTTGATGGAGTCTTCATGCATTTATTTCTAAAAAATGAGCTTTTTAATCTGAATTGCGCAAAAAATGACAGTTCGAATGATAAAATTATTATGGTATCCTAAATGAATTTTCTTCTTAAGTTAATTCATTAATTACACCCACATAATTTCGCAGTCAGATTACACCACACCTCTTTTGTGCATGGTTCAGTTCATAGCTTCACACAAGAATAGTGCTAATTCAGATAGATGATATGTCATATCAAAACTCAAAAAAAAGAATGATGGTTTGTGGTAAATGCTTCCATCTTTTTCACTTTGTCTTCCTGGAGGGACCCAGTGTGTTTATCTTCAACAAGCCATTTGGCATGTTCTCCAATAATCTAATGCTTAAGGAGAAGAGATATGATGTGCATCTTATGATACAATTTGCCCCACCCCCATTTTGGATTCTTTTTCCCTTTTTTTTTTCCTTCTCCCCTTGGTTTTATTGTGAAAATTAGGTAAAATTCAGATTGCTGTGGATAGTGGATACTACTTTGCCACAGAGAGTCAAACATAGACTGTTGATAAGAGCCCGTTAAGTATATAGGAGAGCTGGCCCTTAGGCTACAATTTGTGGCATTGTTCTACAAAACGGCCCAACAAAAACCCAAAAAAGAAAGAACGAAAAAATTCATTCTAGGCTTCTATCCCAACCATTAGCCAGCCCACCATCTAGCCAGGCAAACTGGCTTAAAATATTAACATACTTCTCTTCAAAATTTAAAATTCATAAATGAGATGCCAACTTTATAGTCCGTCTTGTGCAAATTATAAACACAAGATTACAAATTTTATAATCATTGATGGATAGAGAACCACTCGGATATTTGGAGACTCATCTCTTATCAATGGCTATAAATGCAATTCACGTAGGGTAAACTACATGTCATTTTTCTAATCATAGAATCGCAATAGAAAAATGAGAGATCAACATTTCTAAGAATTTAATTAAATGGATTTAGGATTTACGAGGATTTTTGTACATGGATAACCACATTTGACGAGGTTTGACAGACCAAATCTAGAACATAGGGAGGCCGAAGGAGAGCAGGTGAGCCTACTCTCTCTAACCACAAGAATGGTGCAGTTAGTATTTCCAGCAAACTCTTCTAACCCACTTTCTGCGTTAGCCATGTATATGGGACTAGGTAGAGGGCGTAAAGCAGCAATGCAAAAATGGAAGAGAATGAAGTCATACAATATTCTAATAGGAAAAGAATCAGTCAACCACATTCAGCTCCTTTCCTATAGGAGGAAAAGCCAGGAATAGCTAAAAAAGATAGGAATCTTGGGATATCTTCTTCAGTTGCTCCAACTATAGCGCTTCCAGTCAGGCTCATAGCTTCTGTTCCCTTTAATTGGGAGGACGAGCCAGGTAAACCTCTACCCTGCTTCTCCCTTCCACCACTTGAAACAGCACAAGCCTCGATTTTGCCTCTGCCCCCAGTCTGCTCAAAGGGATACCGTGATGATTCCAACAGCAGTGATGATGGAGGCAATAGCAATAATGAAGAAAGGATGTTTGATATGGACTTTGAAACATTTGGTTATGAAACTGATGATTCCTTCAGCTCAGCTACATCTTTCCTAGCAAATTGCCTCAAAGCTTCTGAGATGATTTCTACTGCCATTCCAGTGCAGAAGAATTCCCAAGGTAATAGCAGTGACTATCTGGAAACTTTTTCTTCGCCAGCTTCCAGAGCAGAGGGTAGTATAAGCAGCTATGCAACTGGCAATTCAGGTCTTGAGGGTGCTTCTTTCTTGGAATTCCTTTTCCCACTGCTTCCACCCAATTTTGGTTTCCTTGAAAGGGTCAGGCACTCTGAGCAGGGCTCTCAGGCTCTAAGAGGGTTAGATCAGAAGAGTACTACAAATGCTGTGATAAGAAGGCCACTGACACTTGGAGAGCTGATTTTGATGAGCCAAAGGAGAAGTTATCAGAGAAAGGCTGTTCAAATGAGAAAGCAGAATCTATCGATGGTAATTCTAAATCTCTTGCTTCCTTTTCCATTGCTTATTGCCTTGAACCAGAGTTCATATTAAACTGCTTTAGAGCAAAATGTGAAATACATTGGAAAGAACTGACATTCAAACATTAGAGAAAATAGCAAAATCAAGCACTCATGCCACTTTTAGGCACTATCATGTACAGAATACTGTAATCCCTAATTATCTGGCATCGTGCACAAGATATTGAGAACAATTTCTCTTGCCTGAATGCAAATAGAACAGGAAATGAAGAAGAAGAGAGCTTCAGGATGCTGCATCTTCAGAACTAGCAAAAAAAACTTAATTGAAGGATTGGAGTGGAAAATGTTCCAGCCAAGACAGAAGTTCCTTTAAAAAACAAATATTCATACTTGCTATTCAACATCAACCTGAAATTTCTCCATCAAGGTTATCCAAGTCATTGTTGTGTGATAGCAGACACAAAATTTACAAGTTCCAGAATGTAATATGATATCCTACTCTGCAAGAACTTTGAGGTGGATATATATTTGTCAAATTTCCAACTGAAAAGCTATAATGTGCATAAGCACATCCTCTTCTTAAGTTACTGAAAGAGAAATACTAGAGGCAATCAAGGTTTTAGGTGTTTCAACAGGAAGATTTACAGGTTTCAGCAACTTTCCTGATCCGTTCCATAACAACAGAAATATCCTCCTGAGATAATGTGGTAAAACAACACCTGAACCATCCTGGTTCTATGCAGTGGCACGCTGAACCAGGAGTTACATTGATCTTAGCTATGTTCAACAGCTGTTCCCATAACTCAAGCTCCCCTTTCTCACTGTAAGAAGGAATTAGACTGCTCATATTAGCCCAACAAAATAAGCCAGCACTACTCTCTGCACACCTGATTCCTAATTCCTCCAGACCGGCCACGAATAAATGATATATTTCCCTAATCCTCTTTTTGTTGGTTTCAATGTATTCCTCAATGAATCTTGTATTTGAAAGCATTGATACCAGAAGCCTTTGTGTTGGTGCAGAAACAGAAGAAAATCTTGTTAACTTCTTGGCAGCAGCTAGAACTTTCTCATTAAAGGAATAGATCACGCCAACCCTAAATCCTGGAAGAGAAAGATCCTTTGACAGTCCATAAATTATATGAACCCTGGTCCTATCAAATTCTTCTGATTCAACAATTTCTGCCATGCTAAGAAATTCCTCGCTCCCATAGTTAGATCCTGCAAATATTTCGTCACATATAACGTGGATATTCTTCTCCCGAGCAAAGTCTAGAAGACCGTAGAGCATATCTCGAGAAAGTAGATTGCCAACAGGGTTTGAAGGGTTTGAAAGGAGAATTCCACGAATTTTAATTCCTCGTTTTCTTGCCTGATTGAATGCTTGATCAAGAGCAGTCATGCTTAACATGAAATTGTCAGTGCTGCGACAGTGAACAGGTATTAGCTCGATTCCTGTTCGATATTTGATATCCCTGTCAAAACTGCAAATAGTTTTCCTAATTAATTTAAGAAAAAGCAGCTTAGTTTTGTAATAATTCTTTTGGCTTTTCTCTATATATAAGGACAAAAATTACTGGTTCCATAATCAAAGAGGCTTGGAATGAGGAAGAAAAGGGTTACCCAGGATAATAAGGTGTGGGAATGAGAAATCCATTTCCTTGATCTGCCAAGCAGAAACTTAGTATCTCAATTGCAGGGGTTGCACCAGCAGTTAATATCAATTGGGATGGATCAAACAAAACAGTTCTGCCCATGACCTGCGACATATAATCCGCCATAGCCTGCAAAGTCCAGACATATATAAGAAATAAGAAATAGCACAATCACAATGGGACCCCATTATCAGTTCACTCTTTACCTAGCAACTGCCAGAAGTGAAATACGCTAAACCATTTACAGTCATAATTCAGAAGGCAAATACTACAAAGGGCTTACTGCAGCAATTCATAGCTCTCAAATTGCCAATTTATGCATCAATATACATAGAATAAAGAGAAATGGATGCCATTTTCAAAAGAATAACTTTTAGCTCTATTTACAAACTCTTCCCCGAAACTTCTCCATTGCAATAACAGAAAGGCCTTACATATAAACATAATTTTCTTCATGGAAAAAGGAACCAAAAGAAATGCAACTCAATGCTGAATACATTACCACTTTCAATTCAGTCATTCCATCAAACGGCTGGTAGGTGGCAATCCCGCTGATACTCAGCTCCCCACCCTCTCTTCCCATTATTGAATCCGTCAAATTTTCCGAAACCCATTTCTCAATTAAATCAAAACACAGCTGAAAAGAACAGAAACAAATCAATCAATATCATCCGTCATTCATCAAAAAGGGAAAAAATGAATAGCAAATACTCACCCTATTCTCGGATAATCCAAGCTGGATAATGCCATTCGGATTATCCAGTCTATCATACGGATCCTCCGCCGCCTTCTCCAATCCGATATAGTACGGAGAATCGCTGGGTTTGGCAATCGAACTCGCCCGAACAGATATCTGAACAGGCCCAATCGAGCCGCGGGAGGACAAATTGGAGCGGGAGGACGTTCTCGGCAACTCCCCTAGGTTTGCTGACGATGTGGACCTTGGCGGAGGATTCGGAGAACGGTTTCGTTTGAGGTATAACTGGAGGAAGTAGAAGAGAGCGCAGGGGATTAGAGAGCCCAAGATTAAGCCTCCTCTGCCCTGGACAATACCTTGTAGAGGCACAATTAGCCTCATGGCGGTTGCGCCAGTGGTTTCTGGGGTCTGGAGTTCGGTTTCAGGAGAGGAGTTCTGGTTCGAGCGGCGGCGTTGCGTCATGAGCCGCCAGTTTGGGAGGAGTGGAGGTGAAGTAAGATACGGGAGTTGGCGGGGGTAGGGTAGTGGCAGGAGAGAAAAATGGAGTGGGAATTAGGTCACGTGATAAGGGATTGGAGCCGTTGGTTGAGAGAGGGAAGATGAGGTTTTTTCAGTTTGGATCTTGACATCTTGTTACGGCGTTCTGAGTTTACGATGTTGTCCTCTTCCTTGCATTACTTTTGTGAGTAATTTTTTTTAGCAAAAGGGTTAAATGCTAATTTTTAGTCCCTCAACTTTATATTTTTGCACTTTTTTCATCTCTTAATTTTTTTTGTGTTTTTTAATCCTCCACTCTAAAAACTACACAATTTTGGCCTCTCCATCAGTTAACTATAACATAGTAGTTAAATAATTCCATAATGGCATTTACTTTTAATTTCTTTATGACATGACAATAACATATCTTATAGTTTGATTACATGCACAAATAAAAAC